CGCAGCCTCTCCTCCAACGGGTCTCAAAACTAATCCTACGGCTCAGGTCTTACCTGCAGCAGCTTCCAAGGACAGTTTCAGATTTAGGCTGTGTTGAGATGAGTCACCCAGACTGTTTACCTTCTTCCTTGCCCCACACCCAACTTTTCACCTCGTGCCTCACCCCACTTAACAGCAGGAATGGGGACGTTCGGCGGACGAGGAAGCGCGAGTTAACGGTAGCTCATCTCCTGATTTAGCATTGCAATTGTTAACCGATCTGGCAATCTTTAGAATCTAGGAAAAATAAGACTCCAGGGTGTTGTTTTATACTCAAAGAGCTAAGAAAACCATTTAAAACCTCCCAAATACTTCTGTTGTTTCATTGAACCAAGTTTTTCCACTTCCAAGAACAAGAGGGTGTGTTTGAAATAAGAATCCAGAATTTTACGTTTTGCTTTGCTTTTAATCAATAATTTTTGCAGGGGAACAGCAGTATATCACAATAATTGATTACACTGGATTACACAGGGATTACATGATGAATGATTCTCACTCTTTATATCCTTTTCAGTTGTTAACCTTCCCTAGGTGAGGTGGATGGATAGGTTTGAAACAGGCGCTTGGTCTCCTCTCAGCCCGGCGTCGGACTTCTCTCAGTCCAGCCGGCCGCGCCCGGTTTCACTCAGGAACACACGTACCCACACAGCTTATCTACCCTCTCCACCTGCCTCAACAGATTATTTCTCACCACAAGAAAAACTCTTCTACAACTCTGAGCAGCCAGGTTTTTGATATAATAAATTTTTCTGTTTGTCAATTCGTACACCACTGCTAAAATTTGGCAAATCTCTCATTTAGTTAGGATCAATTTTCATGGAGCGTCCCTTACCATGTTCTCTGAATCTGGTAATGGCAAATTTCCCGGTCCAGCTGTTGTTAGGATCCGGGCCACTTCTTAATCCTTGCTGGTTCAATTTGAAGAAAATGGGTTTCAGGTTTAATCCGGGCTGCTGAGTTTTGAAGAAATAATTCCAAAAAAGAAAATTATTCCATCGAATTTACCCCAATTCTTCTCAAGCTAGAAATCGTCCAAAAATGCCCTATTAATCCAAATTCGTCCAAAGGGTCCTATGGTTCTTGTCCTTAAGTCCATTCTCGGTGAAGTGAATCCCCAAACAGCCAAGATTCAACCGAATCTTCTGTTTTTATAGCTTCAGTTTTTGACTGACAGCTCTCAGCTTGGTCACCCCATCGGCTTACCCCACCTTTTTAGGCGGGCTTTGAATCCCATCTTTACTGGTTCTCTATGAGACTTTTGCAAGTCATTTTATGCATATTAAAATCTGGGTGTACTTAAGTTTACTTTCTGCACGGTCACTTCTGTGCTGTCTTACGCTGATTGGCTCAGAGCTGTTTTTCAACGGTTTCTCTTGTGTAACATTGGGTACTGTCCAGAAGCTTCACGAAGCTCAGAGTTTTTTCTATGCAACGTTCATCATGAATCAGTTTAAACACAGGTTACATTGTAAAATCATAAGATTACATTCTTTAATCACAAAGTTTATGACTTCCCTTTATCATCTACTTTATTTATTGATTTTCCATAAACACATACTTCTCCCTTCATCTTAAAGCTGGTATTTTATTCACTTTATTCAGGAAGAACACATCCTCTCTTCGCTCTGCCTTCTCTCTGCACTTCCTCTGCATGTGTGCGTGTGTGTGTCAAAATGGGTCTGCGTGTTTGCGTCTGTGTCTGTGTGCTTGTGTGTCATAAGAGTCTGTGTGTGCGTGTGTGCTTGTGAGGCCTTCAAACCATGACTAAGCAGATCGACACACAGAAAAACATGTTCTGACTTGTTCTCTCCTATAAAATAAGTCTGATCTCCGTACTCATTTGACACCCCCTCCACGGAGTCAGACTGTTCCCTCAACCCATACTTAAACTCCAAGCCAGTCCCGATCTTCATCAGCTGCATCCACCTTTAAGACATCTTCCTCGTAATCCAAATCGACCAGTTCCTCGTGATGCGGTGCTGGATCTTTAGTGTCGCTAGGCCCAAGGCTTTGGGCCTCCTCATCAGCAGCATCCCAATAATCCACAATCGTCAGCTCGCCGGAGTCGTCCTCACGTGAGTCGCCCACTTGAGATGTCGGATCCCCGGGGTGATGTGCATCCTCAGACGAAAGTGGGGGCGTGCCGGAGACGGGCTGCGAGGATGTTGCCTCCACACTCATGGGAGACCCCACAGGAGTGACGGGTTCATATATGGGTCGTCCGTTGTCTGAATAGACCCAAGCATATGCCTCCGGCACTTGCTGTGGACGCTCCTGCGTCGATTTTTCTGGGGCACTTACTGGCCCATCAGGATGAGTTGGATCCAGAAATGTTCCATCTGGATTGATCAGGCTTGGTGGATGAGAATCTTCAGGGCTGGTGGGATCATACCGAGCAGCGCTCGTGGAGTTGGTTGGGCTAGGTGGGCCAATTTCAGTGCTCACAAAGTGATCAAGATAGGTCTCCAATTGGTACAGCTCTGGACACTCCAGGGAGAGAAGGGGTGGTGCAGGAGATGCTGCCCTTACCTCCATAGGCTCGGTTTCGGGTTGAGCTCGTGCAGGTGGCAGGTCAGATGAAGCATCGACTGGGGTCTCATGTCGAGTCGTCACCATCAGGGTGGGTGCCAGGTGGACGTTAGGTGGATTGGTATTCTGCTCTCAAATCGCTGTCATTGCGGGAGTCGGAACCAGCGGTGGAGTGGCTCCTAGGTCAGCCCCTAAGGAGGCTGGCACTGCTGGGGGCAGAAGCTCTGATGATTCCTGCGTAACCCCGAAGGATGGGCCCTGGACCAGGGGCAGCCCTGTGTACAGATGGATCGCCACAAACCTGGTGACGTTGTGGAGGTGCTCCCACAACTTAGCTACCACCGGGTAGTATGAGGCTCGTGGCGAAATAGCACCCCTTGGATGATAGGGCACCGAATTCAGAGCCGAGGTCCAGATGACTTTACAGGTGCATTCCGTTTCCATGCACACCGCCGTGGATACTTGTGGCAGACTATGAGGCTCGTCTGAGACAAGGATTCCATTCACCGTGGTTTTTGACACCAAGCCAGAGTGACAGCACTGGCACCACCAGGATGAACCGACAGCCCAGAGATATTTGGCTTCTGTCAATCCTTTGCGACAGAAACAGCAGGTTACTTCATTTTCCTGTAACGATAAAAGGGGATAAAACAAGATCTAACACTACAACACAATTACTACAACTATAATTATTATTTTTTTCATTATTTATTTTTTATTTATTTATTTTATTATTTTTATTATTTTATTTTTTTATTTTTTTCAGTTCTCTCCGGGTTTCATCGCTTTTCAGGGGTCTTCAACCGTTACTGGACCTATACAGGCCGTCAGCCGACATCAAGGACCACATCGAGCAATGTTGCCCAGAGTTAAACAGACATTAGATTAATAATTAATAATAGCATTAGCAGGGGGGGGGGTATTTTAAGCAACGTTAGTTATAATGATCATGGGTAGGTTTGAGGATTTAATCTATGGAGATTCCGTGGCCTCCACTTCCCTCCGGTGCAGTAGGAGCAGGTTCCGGTCTAGTTCTGAAGATTGCAGCATAAGTCATCATCCACACTACGATGGGTACTGTGGTACAGAGACCAGTCCAATATAGCACAGAACAGATTCCCCAGGCCAGACCCCATCCAATTAAGATGACTATCTTCAGGGTCCATCTTTGTCTATTTTGGGGTCGCAAAGACAGGGTCTGGTGTAGCAGGTGTGCCAGCACGGTGATGGTTATGGCTCCTTCCATTACCACCATCACGATCCTTCCAGCTGTGCTCCCACAGTTCGTGATGGGTATAGACAGAGGGGTGAGTGTGGCTACACACTCCAGGGTCACTACGATGGAATCTGCTAACAGCCAAGATGAAAGCACTATTCTCTGCCGGAGTGTAGTCTGGACCCTTCCCAAGACATAGGTAACAAATAAGTGTGACATAATTTCAGCCCCCTTTAGGATAACATGGATCACGAACATCTTGGCATAGGCCTGGAAGGCCACGGGGAATCGCATCAGTCGCTCCCTACCCCATTTGCCTGTGTGGCAGTAGCACATCCATGCAATCAGTAGTAAAAAATATTCTGTCGTGCTCCCCCTAAACTGGAATGGGCATTTTGGCCAAGAGGTCTGCGTGGGGCCCGTAGTGCTATTTGAATCTGCATAAAATGTACTCACATCAGTTGGAGCACTGGTTGTTGGGCAATCCATGATGTTCTTGACTCCGAGGATTCTTTGAGTTCTGCTCTCTGCTGCTCCGGGGCGGATGTGAGACTGTTTCCGGACTCTCTTGGTCTTAAGCCGAGCCAGCGCCCGATTCTGGTGGGAGTGGCTTGTAGTTCCTCCCACATGGGCGGCACATGGCCTTGATGCCTTCTTGTAGGACCACACGTCCTAATAAGGCAACAGTTATCACTCCGACTAAGCTTGCCAAATAAGGCCAGAGCTGCAGGAGAAGATCGACTATCCATCTTTCAACAGTTCTTCCGCCTTCCTTGATCACTTCACCTACTTCATGCACTACTTCCGTGACTTTACGGCCTACTGTGTAACTAAAAGTTTCATACCAAGCACAATCATGTTCATCCTCATCCTTGCCACATTTTTTCCAACTTTCTTATGGATACAGACATGTGAGATTAAGAGTAGATTTTATTTGGGCCTGCCCAATCGTAACCATGCAACTCATCACCAAAACATAGGCGTCGTCTCAGTGCATGCCCTTCGGCCAGAGCAATCATAGAATCTGAGACAAAGGGGACAATCACTCCCTGAATACTTTTTCTAGTTTTCAGCTTATGCCCTAATATGACGTTAGTGCAACTTGTGCTATCAGGTATAGATCTTCTCCACTTTCCGTCACCATACTTTTTCCATACTACCTCAGCTGCATGAGTAGAGTACTCGTCATTGTAATGACTCCGGCAGTAAGACTCCCATCCGGGTAACTCGTAACAAGGCCTGCGGGCCAAGCTAATTGTACACACATCTTTTTTCTCCTTACAAACCATCTGCCATGGTCTTGGACTAACATACCTGTTGGGACAATACAGAACACTTGACCATATATCCTGCTCTTTGGAGTAAACTGTAGCTAAGAATTGATACCTGATCCAATAATTATTGGATTGTCTTAAACAAGGGACCACCCATTCTCTTATTTCTTCTTCTTGAAATCCCCACCAAGTACGTGAGTGATCTCTATGGTGATACTCGTGCCAAGCTTGGAGCAATATTTTGATAGTTTTCTCTCTCCTTAGTTCCGTACAGTCATAGTGCCACGTGGACATGACTGCTACTTCTGTTTCCCACAGTCTGCATCTAGGTGACGCCCCACTACTTTCCCACACTGAGTTATTAAGGCTAAGAAAAATACGTTCAGCTACACATTCATCAATTTTGTTGAAATCGCCTTTGGTGCACTAAAGAACTCGGTTTGTTTAGGCAGCCTCTGCACATACATGTCTGAGTAATATGGCCCCAACAGGCCTACATAAGACCTGGTATACCCCTCCACAAAGTCACCTTCGAAGTGGGGCAAACCAGGGGCCACCCATACCCATGGTAATATGTCATGTTCAGCCAATCTTTGTGCCAGGCATTAACAGGGTGAAATAAAGCTGCCCAGCTCCAGTAATAATATCTTTGATTTGCTACTGGGGTTATTGGTAAATAATTTTGAGATTTACACTCACCATACAGGTTCCAATAGCAGATTGGGAGCTTCTTCAATTTGTTTTTCTTACAATAATTCGTCACTGCCTGGGCTACTTTCCCATCGTTTTGTTTTTTGATCACTATTTTTGCCTTCTATCTTATTCGTGCTGGAGGCGTCATGTTCGTTATGAGTTTCTTCTCGTGTCTCATGATGTGAACCTACACCTCTGAGCTCGGAAGAGACAGAGAAATTACGCAGGTTTTTAGAAACTTTGAAACACACTGACACGGGAAACCAACCTAGAGTACTATGCAGTGATATGATCACTACAGCATCTGAGGGCGCGAATGACAACATTACAGATGTCGGTGGAACACACCAAGACATTGTTGTTGTTGCCTCCAACAACCCCTCATCGGAAGAAGGGGGGGTACACTCACACACAAACGATGACGAGTCATCGCAAGCTGAACACTCAGAAACAGCTACTGCTGTGCTGACGGTTCAGACAAACCAAGATTACACAGACAAGGCTGAACGCGTGAAGAAGCGTCAGAAAAAACCCAAGAGGTTTCTGTGTAACTTTATCAGAAGGGGGGGTCGCCAAAAAGGCGTACCTGTCAGTGACACTCGAAGGTGTCCTCACACATGAAGCACTTCTGGACGGTGGGGCAGACATAACAATTATGTCAGCTAAACTGTTTGAGGAGCTGAGGACAGCCGCTGCCGGTGTTAACAGGATAATACCTCTCTCTGAATGTGCTATAGAAATGCAGGGTCTCTCAGAGAAGAGGACAACCCTGACAGCTGTAGCAATGGTTCACATGCAGGTAGGCAGAATGACACTATACCACCCGGTACAAGTGTCTCGTGTTGACTCATTCCCATTTTTGGTTGGCCAGGATTTTATAAATCGCTTCGAAGCGATTATAGATTATGGTGATCAAACGATGTGGACCAAAGTGAGCAAACCACTGCCAATAGATATGCCTCCGGAGTGTAACACGAACTGCCTAACAGCAGGTACCGCGGAAGGCGCAAAGGACTCCTCAGCCGAGGACACGAGCCCGGTGAGTATTCCTCTGAAATCATGTGAAACCACAGAGACCCACCCGGTGGTCCAAACTCTGACCCAACAAGACAGCCTCCTCTGTGAGCTGGAACAGTCAGAGTCCACCAAACACTACCTACCACTGGTAGTTAAAGGTGTAGAGATCCAAGGGTCCCACACCAACGATGCTGTTCTGTCTCTGTGGACAGATAAATCAGCAATTAACCGAGCTTTCTATGAAACCTTGGCTCACAAACACGTTGGTCTAGAACTAATTAAAAAAGCTTTCCGCTTTCCATTAGTTCCCAATAGTTCACAGGTAATGACCGCAGAAGGAGTCATTAACCTAAAACTGAACTGGAA